TGCTGTCGTATTATTTTAACTTTAAGTTAGTGCCTTCGCAGTAAGTTTTCAAACTTTGTTTTCTATGAAGTTTAGCCATTTAGTTGTTACGGTATTTCATGAAAAATTGCTGCATCTTCAATTTCACCTACAATTTCAATATTCTCAAAAAACTTTTACTGAACTAGGCGTTGCTGATTACAGTAAGTAAATCTGACTCTCAGAAACGTCAGAAAAATTGTGGTTGGTGAAGAGTAATTAAATAAAATACAAGATTATATTCTTCGTCTTAGCTTTCTATCGTTAGTTTTTGGACAAAGCCTTGTCCCAACTCCTTCCACCAATCTCTATCCTGATTCCTGAGCAACATTGGTCCAATTTGTTCCTGCTATTTTCCCAATACCATAAAACTATAAGACCATCTCTATTTTCTTACATGCCAGCATAATAATACTACACATAACCAATGAAAGACTGAAAATCGTCGAACGTGAAGGAATTTGAGGTAATTCAACTTGTTGCCATTAACTTTAATGCTATCTGTTGACCAATTTGTAGTTTGAAGATGTCGTCTGGGACTAGATTAAGTAGATTTCGCGATATTACGTGGACTTGACGAATTCCTCCTTAATGGAAATGAGAATTGTATTTTCGTTTTCTTCTTCTTAAGGTGCCGTGCATTTCTGCGTAGGCATCCACCGTACATCGTCTTGTCTTTATTGTTTTGTTTTGTTTGATTTTCCCAATCTTTGCTCATAATCTCGATTTGTCTGGTAACAGTTGGAGAACCAGAGCACAGTGGGGAACGCTTTGATAGCAGAAATAATCTGTCTCTTTTAACACCAAATAATATATAAGCCACTTAAATAAATGTTTTTTTACTGCGTTTTCGTCTTCGAGAGACTTCTGGCATTATACTAGCATATAGAAGATTTTAAAAGAAGCGGTTATTGCAGCTTCTAATTGTTTGGCTTCTCTAAAGAAGATGGATTGCCGTTTTTTCAAACTAGTTCTCAAATCTGAAACTTTTGTAATCTAACTCATTCTTTGGTGAAAAATTACTTTCAGGCAAGGTTTTATAATGCCGTTCCAAGTTTCCACGATTGGACAATCCCACTGAAAATAAACAAATGAGGCAAACGCACTTATTCTTGAATATAACAAATAATAACTCTTCCTCCAAATCCCAATAAAAAGGTACGTTTTACTTTTACATCAATTTTGCGTTTTACATAGAACTTCTATTTATCGTAAATTAATAAAGAATGACATAATGCTCCGTTGCTGCAGCTTGTTGACTATAAAACAGACATTCGAGAAGAATCGCTAACATTCGCCATTCCATTCCAATTCTGGAATATTTCGACCAAGGCCTGATTTATTTTGAATTCTTGCGTGAACGACTCCAGAAGTAGTCACGATTGATTATTTAGGCACCAATGTTTTATAGAGTACCAAAAGGTATTCTAATGAATAATGCATGAAAAACTACAGACAAATTAATCGAAACTCAAAGAATTTGATATAGACGATAAAATATAATTTAGTCGAACTGTGAACATAAAAGTAGATAACTAGTTGCTAGATCTCATATTAATACAACGTGTAGTACGACAGGGATACACCTTGTCTCATCTTCTATTCAATATATACTCCAAAATACTCAGCTGTTGGTAAACCATCAATAAATTAAAGAAGTTGTAAGTTCTATGCATTGTGGTAAGTTAATTTGGAGGATCTGTATCCTCCTCACCAGTTAACATTGATGAGGAGGATACAGATCAGGTCAAAATCTTAAGGGAAGTGGGACAGGGGTGCATAATTTTACTACTGATATTGAATCTGTACTCGGAGCATATTTTTGAAGAGGCTCTAAAAGATATTGATAAATACATCTCAATAAATGGAGTCAAGTTCAATAAACTGCGGTATGCAGATCATACAATAATGTTTTCCAATACCATAGAAAAACACATGCTATTGACAATTGGATTAAATATTGTCAAATACGAAAAAAATATAAGCAAGCAATAAAAGTTTAAAAAGGTACTGCTTATGCTAACATAATTAACAAATCCACCAACAAAAGTAAGACAATATGGAGTATTGTTAAAAAAGAAACCTATAAGGAACATACTACGTCTAATCTGAACTTAACATCAGAAGAAATTAACCAATACTTTACGAATATAGTAGATAGTATATCAAAATCAATAGGAGACTCTGAGCATGACATAAATTACTATCTTAGCAGGCTACCTTTCGTTCTTTATGTCTCCAATAGTAGCATCTGATGTGAAATAATGCATATACAAATTAAAAAATTCCTCATGTGTTGACTACTATGGTTTCAACAGTAAAATTATTAAGGAAACGCTTGATACAATTGTTGAACCACTCACAATTATATTTAACAAATGTATTAACGATGGTTACTGGCCTGATATATTCAAAATATCAAGTTATTCCACTTCATAAAAAAGAAAATAAATATGCTCCAGACAACTACAGACCTATTACCATAGTACCAACGATAAGTAAAATTTTTGAAATCTTAATCGTATCTTTATCGTTAAAGATCGTATAGCAAATTATTTGGATAACAAATAAATTATATCTAGCTCTCAATTTGGTTTTAGAAAAAAATAATTAACAACTAAAACTTTATTAGAAGTAATAGAACATATTGTTCACGGATTTGATTCAGGTGATATTCAAACACTATTGATAAAATGGAAGTACTGTGGAATAAGGGATACCATACATGACCTTTCAAAATCCTATCTTACAGGAAGAGCACCGATTGTTGCATTGTTGCATTTAATAATCAAGAATCTGATCCTTTACCAGTTTCAACCGGAGTACCACAAGGATCAGTTTTGGGACCTCTGCTGTTCTTGATATATATATATATATATATATATATATATATATATATATATATATATATAAATATAAATATATATATATATATATATATATATAAATATATATATATATATATATATATATATATATATATATATATATAGTAAACTCTTAAATATTGGGGAAATCTGCAAAAAAACTCTAATGTGTATCAATTATTTCACCTAACGTTTTCGCCAAAGAGAATTTGGCTTCTTCAGGGCTGAAAGAGAATAAATTATAATTAGCTACCATATATTATCTAATAAAAAACATTTACCTTACCGTGAAATTTTAGAAATGTCAAGTTATGATGTTAAAAAACTTTAGCTAGTAACAACATAGTGGTGTTTTTTTGTTACTATGTGCAAAAAAGTTTATTTGTGAACGTTGGAAATGTATGGTAGCTTTGAACTTAAAACGCAAAGGTTTACCCAAGGACAATCGAAAAACCCAATGTAACTACATTTAAAGGAAGTAATTCTTTGAATTGTCGGCAATAACTAAATTTTTAATTGTTGTAAAGTTAAAAAGTTGTTGTAAAGTTGTTGTAAAGTAAAGTAAAAATTTAGTTATTGCCGACAATTCAAAGAATTACTTCCTTTAAATGTAGTTACATTGGGTTTTTCGATTGTCCTTGGGTAAACCTTTGCGTTTTAAGTTCAAAGCTACCATACATTTCCAACGTTCACAAATAAACTTTTTTGCACATAGTAACAAAAAAACACCACTATGTTGTTACTAGCTAAAGTTTTTTAACATCATAACTTGACATTTCTAAAATTTCACGGTAAGGTAAATGTTTTTTATTAGATAATATATGGTAGCTAATTATAATTTATTCTCTTTCAGCCCTGAAGAAGCCAAATTCTCTTTGGCGAAAACGTTAGGTGAAATAATTGATACACATTAGAGTTTTTTTTGCAGATTTCCCCAATATTTAAGAGTTTACTATTTAACTTATCTGCAAAGATTAAATTTCTTTTTATATATATATATATATATATATTATATATATATATATATATATATATATATATATATATATATATATATATTATATATATATATATATATATATATATATATAAATGATTTACCAAGTGTATTGGATAACACAAACTGTGTTCTTTTTGCAGATGACACAACCTTATTATGTAGAGGTAAAACTGATTACAGTCAGGAAATAGAAAAATCTAAATCCTCGTTTAACTGTAACAAGCTTAAGTTAAACGAGCAGAAAACCCAAGTATTTAGTTCTCGTAGATGGGTAACACCATCTGAACCAGTAAAGTTACTAGGTGTTACTATGAATACAAGGTTGAAGTAGTCGTACCATATTGAACGATTGTGTAAGAGGCTCGCCTCATAGATTTTTGCTATGCGCAGATTGGCTACTTCTGTGAGTCGAGATATTCTTAGGTCAGTTTATTTTGGAATTGTTCATAGTATCCTGAAATATTGCATACTTTTTTGGGAAACTCGTCCTATGCATATAAAGCTTTCACTTTTCAAAAAGCAGCAATCCGAATTATTGACTCGGCAGAATATCTCGCCAACTGTAAACCCTTGTTTAAAAAGTATGGCATTCTTCCTTTACCTTCAATATTATATTTGAAATTTTGTTAACTGTTCATAATAATACACAAGATGTAAAAACACATGCTGATCAACATCAGTACAATACAAGAAATAATAGTCATATCATTATACCATATTCCAGATTGTGTGTTACACAACTTAATACAATAGATTATAATCTGTATAATTGTTTTTTAAACCTAAACAAAAATATTGATATTAAGGCAATGAATTCTAAACAATTTTATAAACTAGCAAAACACTTCCTGCTGGAACACTGTTTCTATAGTATACAGGAATTTGTTTGTTTGAGCTCCTAGTGTGGTCGTTTTTATGAAAACTATATTACGCCTTACTGAATTGTTTTTTTTTATAATTTTATATATATCTAATTTTCACTGTATATGTTTTATTATGTGTTCTTGTATTATTTCTTAGTTATTTCCTATGTATACAAAAGTGACTTATTTTTATTGTGACATGACATGTAGTGTTTACTATGTAAAAATTGTCAATAAACCTATCTATGTATCTATCATAGAAGTGCTGCAAAACTTATGAACAAAATAAACGGAAACAAGTAGAACATATGGACTGGATATATATACCAGCAAAACCAAGCCAATGATCATTAACAAGGTAAATATAAATGGAGGAAATCTTTACATAAAGATTTTTGGTTTACATAAACAGAAACAAGATTTTTGGTTTACATAAATATTTGGTTTACATAAACCAAATAAGAATTGGGGGTGTTTCACAGTACAACTACTTGGGAACTATAATCAATGAGTCGTGGGACAATACCCAAGAGATTAAATGTCGCATTGGAAAGGAAAAAGTAGATACTTTGAACTATTGACTATGAACTCCGTGATCGAAAGCCATGACCTCACTCTAGAAACAAAAATAAGGCTCCTTAAATGTTACGTGTACTCAGTGCTACGGTACGGAGTAGAAACGTGGACATTGAAGGCGAAAACTCTATTAAAACTTCAGGCTTTTGAGCTATGGTTATACAGAAGGATTCTGAAGATACCATTCATGGACAAAGTCACCAATGAAGAAGTGCTATGGAGGATGAACACAACCGTGGATTTGGTCAACATCGTGAATGGCCGTAAGCTGCAGTACTTGGGACATATAATGAGAAATCAAGGCAGATATGAGCTACTTCAATGCATTTTGCAAGGTAAAATTGAAGGAAAAAGGGCCCAGGACGAAGAAGAATATCCTGGCTTGCTAACTTGAGAGTACGGTATAGAAAGACCTTAACACAGCTATTCCGTATAGCAACCAACAAAGTCATCATAGCCAGAATGATCGCCAACGTTTGGAACAAACAGGCACCCTACGAATAATAAGGAGGAAAAAATTATTTAAATAGCAATATATAAGGATTACTATGTGTTTATTGCTAAGTGTGGGGGATATGATATTTTTTATATCCTTTAGAACCGAAAACTGTTTTCTAAGGCGCATTTAAAAATAACTTTATATCAATCTTTTATGCAAATAACCGTAGTGAAATCGTGTACACAGGGAACGAATTTATTTCGTTTCTTCGCTTCGCACAATCTTACGTTTGACGTAGACGTTTGAATACGACAGCGAAAAACGTAGTACCAGGAAAAGCTTCGGTTTTGATTGATGACTAAAACAGTAATATCGTAAGCGTCCAACTAGCGTTAACTAACAATGAAAAATTAATGTACAGGTGGGGTGACACATAGACGTAGAAAATAGGACGTTTATTAAAATAAATATCAAATATTAATCTAACCAAAAAGACTACAACCGAAGATATATAATCTTTACTAAAATTTAAGCTGTAAGCATGAAAAATAAGGAGAATATTTATAAATAAAAAACATGAACATGAATTCTATTGGAATCACAATGTATTTGTTAGAACATAGATGGAAGACATCATCATCATCATCATCATTTTGGCTTTACAACCCTGTGTGGGTCCTAGCCTCCCCAAGAATTCTCTTCCAGTCGTCCCTATCCATCGCCTTCCTCCGCCAAGCACGTATTTCCATATTTCTCATATCTTGGTCTATGTTATCTAGGAATCTTGTTCTGGGTCTTCTCTTCTTCTTTGACCAATAGGTCTATCAAGGAGCGTTTTTCTAGCTAGGTCGGTTTGCTCCATCCGCATTACATGGCCTACCCACCTCAGACGTCCTATCTTAATGTGTTTTACGATATCTGGTTCCTGGTATATTCTATAGAGTTCGAAGTTGTATCGTCTTCTCCAGACACCATTTTCATTTACCGCTCCATAGATTCGCCTCAGTATTTTTCTTTCGAAACATCCTAACATGTTTTCATTGCTTTTTGTTAAAGTCCAGGTTTCTGAACCATATGTTAGGACTGGGCGTATTATTGTTTTGTAGGGTTTTACTTTTGTATTCCTTGATATAGCTGTAGATTTAAAACGGAGATTAAGCTCAAAATAGTATCTATTAGCCGTGCAAATTCTGCGGTTTATCTCTGCGGTAATGTCATTTTCAGTATTAATTAACACTTTAAATCCAAAGAGAAATAATAGTCCAGTCGCCAAAGATTTGACCTCGAAAAAACATACGAACTAGCTGAATTTTTCTGAAAATGTCAATTTTGGGACTCAAAAAAAGTGCAAAAATGTTTCCCACTTTTACCCCACGACTTCTTTCTAAAACGCCCCCTCGTAGAGTGAAAAAATGGAAAAAATCGATTTATTAAAACACTCTTCGCTGTAGAAAGAAATGTTTCAATAAAAAATTTAGCTGAGATAATTTTGAACCAGAAAGGTTTATTACCACTTTTTGTCTAGAGTAAACCGTTCTCTGAGAAACAACAATTTTATTTGCAACATTTATCTATTTAACCTTCTTATAAAAATAGAGTTTATTTGCGGCAAAATGTAAAATCGCGTAAGAAAGCTGCACTCCTTACCTTTAAAACGCATTGATTTTTGTCGATAGGATACTCTGATCAAAAGATATCAAATTTTTACTTCGAGTTAAAACAAATTTTATTTAAAATTGATTTCGCGAGCGTAACTGACATTCAAAATTATCAGTCGCTCCAAGCGTTGTTGCTGAGAGAACGGTTTATTCTACATAAAAAGTTTTGATAAAGATTTATGTTCAAAATGATCTCAGCTACACTTTTTATTTGAAATTTTTTTTTCTACGGCGTACAGATTTTTGATAAATCGATTTTTTCCATTTATCCCCCTACGAGGGGATGTTTTAAAAGGAAACTAGGGGGTAAAAGTAGTCAACTTTTTTGCATCTTTTTGGAGTCCTAAAATTAACATTCTCAACAAAATTCAGCTTGTTCGTATGCTTTTTTATAGATTCAGTGGTATTTTCGTCTCCGACGACTGGAGTATAAGACAAGGTTGTATATTCTCACCATTATGATTTAAGTTGTACTCAGTGGAGATCTTTAATCGAGTTCTAAATAATAAACAGATATTAATAAGGTCAACGGAAGAATTATTAATAGTATTCGATATGCCGACATATCAATATACTCTTTTAACTATTTCGTGGTGCTACTTTCTCATTAAATTTATCTTAGCACTTTACTATAGTGTAACGGTATAATTTTCCTACCACATTGGATATCATTTATAGGGGGGTTGAAAGTGGGGCTTAAGCAATTACTGGGCTGGAGATAGGGTAAGCAAACAAAGCGAAACGTTTGTGAATAACCACTCTTGTTTTTGTTGGAGAGCTGCGTCGTAAGTAACAGAATAAAAGAGGCACTGGAAAGGGTAACTACAGAAAAAGAAATTAAAAAATACTTACTTAGATTTCCTTTTCAATACACACAAGATGGTTCCTAAACTATCTGAAAAGGACGCCGTTTAAAATAATCCTTTTTTTGGATAGAAAAAAAGGATTATTGTGTGAAAATTCCTTTTTAAAGGAAATAATTCTACAACTCCCGGTTTAAAGAAAAACCTTACATATAGGGAAAGGGGGGGGGGGGCAAAACGAGGTAGTGTGGCAAAACGGGGTACCCCTCTTATTTTCCAAACCACTAGTGCAATTGAGCTACATCTCCAGGAATTTCGTGTTCACGTGGTACGACATCACCTGATGCCGCCGTTTGGCTGTACAGCGCGCCAAAGTCGATGAATTCGTTGAATAGTGAGGATTGATAGTGGTATTGCAATATTTACATATTTCGTTTACAAAAGTAAGTAGACTGGAACTATATTCACTCAATAGCTATTTATTTCATGTCATTGTCTAAGGTGTGAACTTATAATTTTGTTAGTATTATTACGTTTCAAGTGTTATTAAATTTATTATTGCACTATAATCACAAATATGCAGCTGGGGCAAAACGGGGTAGGGCAAAATGGGGTACTACCCCATTTTGCCCCATGAATTGATATGTTTGGTGTTTGATTATTCTAATTACATTTTATTTTTCTTCAGATAATAATGGTAAGAAATTATAAAAGAAAAACAGATCGACAACAAAGTTGGAGTGAACAACAGATGCACGAGGCAGTGCAACTAGTTATAGATGGTTTCATGGGATATAAGAAAGCGGCTGAGCAATTTAATATACCCCAAACAACATTAGAGCGCTACGTTAAAAAAAGCGAAACAATTCCGAATACAAAATTCAGAAAACGCTTGGACGTTATAAATGTATCTTTTCAATAGAACAAGAAGCAGAACTAGCAGTTTATTTGACCACCGTGGAAGCTCAACTATTTGGTCTGACCATGAATGAATTAAGAGAACTTGCTTTTGATTTAGCAGAACGCAACAACATTGTTCATCCGTTTAAAAATTCAAAAGCAGGTTTAGACTGGGTAAAAGGATTCTTGAATAGGCATCCTAATCTTAGCTTACGAAAGCCAGAAGCTACCTCGTCAGCTAGAGCAATGGGGTTTAATAAAGTCGCAGTAAAACAATTTTTCGACCTTCTTTCAAATATTTTGGATACCCATCAGTTAACAGGGGATAGAATATATAACTGCGACGAAACGGGCTTAACAGTAAATCCTAAAGGTCATTCTAAAGTAATTTCCAAGAAAGGACGTCGTCAGGTCGGAATTTTAACTTCAGCTGAACGAGGTCAAATTGTTACCGCTGAAATTTGTTTCTCCGCTAGCGGGACATATGTTCCCCCAATGTTAATTTTTTCCCAGAAAACGCATGCAGCAAGAATTCCAGACTGGACTTCCATCGGGTGCGTTTGCTGAGGTTCAGGAGACTGGGTGGATGACCAAGGAACTGTTTGTTGTTTGGTTTCAAAGATTTATTTCTTTTACCGGAGCCAAAAAAGAGAAACCAATTCTGCTTGTTTTAGATGGACACTCCACCCATACCAAGAGCTTGGAATTAATTGATCTTGCACGAGATAATGGGGTAATTTTGTTGTGTTTTCCGCCCCATTGTTCTCACCGACTTCAACCACTAGACGTGGCATTTATGAAACCGTTAAGTAAGTACTACGAGGATGAAGTACGTAAATGGTTGAGATGTAATCCTGGAAAAGTCGTTACCTTGTTTCAGATAGCTTCGTTATTTGGGGCCGCTTTTATACAGGCTGCAGCGATGAGCACAGCTATAAATGGTTTTCGAAAAACTGGAATCTGGCCATGTGACATGAATGTTTTTAAAGATGAAGATTTCTTACCTTCTGCAACGACAAACATTGAACTTTCTCTCAATGATACAAGGGAGATGCAAGTCCAGAGTACTACAGCTTTCAAAGATTCTGCCCAGTCACCTCCAGGCCAGCAACATCTAACTTCCATCCATCTAACTTCGTCCCAACCATCCATGATTGTACAAAATATTTTCAGTCCATCGACTTCGGCACAATCTTCCATTTACTCAACTTCTCAACCAGATCTGAATTGTAGTAGTTTTAAAGGTGCTAGTCCCCAAATCATTTTGCCAATTCCCAAAGTATCACAGACAAGTAAAAGGACTACCAGAAAACGTGGAAAAACTGTGATTTTGACATCATCGCCATATAAGGACGAGTTGCGGAATGCTGAAAATCAAAGGCAAGGAAAAGCAGACCAAACCGTAAAAAGAAATCTGCTTAAAAATAAAAAAGGCACTGTTAAACCAGCCAAACAACAAAAAACATCATCTACTATTCAGAAAAAAATGCCAATTCCTACTCCTGCTTCATCTGATAGTGAAGAAGAGGCTGCAGAAGATGAGTGTCTATACTGCCATGACTTCTCTGAAGAAGGGTGGATTCGTTGCCGATCATGCTCCAAATGGG